ACTATACAAAAAACGAAGAAAATAAAATTCAATGACCTCTAAGGAAAAATCTTAATACACTAAATTGAAAAAAGTTCATTCAATTAAACCTCAACTGCAGAGATACATAATTTATCGTTTTGCTCTCAAAGTTTAAATGTTGCATTGGCTAGAGTGTTCTACGAGTATATTGCTTCGCTACGAAAAATGCAATACACATGCAGTTACACTTTTACATACATACCAGGGTAGTTACGAAAATTCGCATTCGCTACCGCGGATCTTCCGCATTAATTTTAACATTCGCACTCGAACCCATATTCGCGACAATAAATTCGGAGTTTTTGCGAATGCGAATCTTGTGCAAGTGCACTGATAAAACGTACTAGGGGTATTCAGGCGTTAATGCGAAATGCAAATCTTGCATCATGCATTGCATTTCTCTCTATGCCAATAATTAGCAAATGCAATGACTGATGCGAAATTTTCGGATGTATTGCTGTTGATAAAGTTTTGCAATTTTACCTTTCGCACCGTTGCAATTGTGGAAAGGATTAAACATTAATTACAAAAACTACATAAAATCGAAAAACGCTGATGACGTTACAAGTTCTTCAAACTTTGAAACAGCGAAAAGCTATAGAAAACCCTGAGATATCTAGTTCGGCTAGTATGCGTTGTTTAAAGAACTATATTTCCGTTATGAAGATGAAAGTCAGGAGGATAAATCCGACATTAGCAGCCCCGATGCCATTCCCAAAAAGAAACTATTATTGTACAGCAATACAAAAAAAAGTAAATTTAACTGAAAGTTTTCTCAACTGGTGGAGCTTCAATCGAAACGAATTTAAAATATTGTCAAGTTTCGCACGCAGATATTTTTCGCCTCCACCAGCAGTGTTTCGAGTGAGCGGTTACTTAGTTGTGCAGGTTTGATCCTTTAAAAAACAGGCTGGAAACTGAAAAGGCAACAACATTCGTTTTCTTTTAATATTATGCTACAATTTTCAAATTAAAGTACTAAATGAAATACCTTACATATCGCATTCGCATCCGCGGATGTCTAAAATTCCACATTCGCAACATCCCTAATATATACATACGTGTGCATTGATAAACCAGGGTATGTTCATTCATACAGTCATAAATACATACAGTGGTTATTAAAAATAAGTGATACGCATGCTCCAGTGATGTTCAAAGGACCGACCACCACCATATCCTTCTGAAAGCGCGCTATATTATCAAATTCGTCAACGATGAAACCCGCCTTTGAGGAAAGCTTTTTTCAAAATAACCTAGAATTACATCAGAACGCTGTGGACTCCAGGAGTGGGAGTATTTAGATTTAGATTATAGAATTCATTCGACCCAAAAAAACAAATATTTCTTAAGCGCAGAAAATAAAAATGTACATATCGTCGTTTAAAGTACAAAACAGCGTATCGTCATTCTGCAAAACCGCGTAACTGGGATTTGCTGTCAAAAATTGGATTTGCTCCTCTTAGCTTAATCTTTATCCATTCGTCCTGAAATATACTGGCCAAGTATGCTATTGATTTTTACAAAAGAACCCCATTTGGATTTATGAGTGTTTTTACTCTCTAGAAGATAATTTACATAATTCACATACGTGGTTTTGCATTATCTTGATACGCGGTTTTGCATTTGGTTGATACGCGGCACTGTGGGCTAAATTACATATTTTCATCTATTTTTTATGTATGTATAATTTAAATATGATTTGAAGTCCAGATAATACATATTAAAGTGAAATACTTAAAATAATGCAAAGTACACTTCTCCTTGACTCCCACTGTATGTACTTATTGTGACTTTTTTTTTTAATTTTATATCTCTTCAACTCGCGTAAATACAAACACCTACATACATATACATATACCCTGCAGGAAAACCGCGAACTAGTGAATCAAATTTCTAGTTCCGTACTAGAAGATCTTTATCGCCAAACACGAACCATTCCGATAATAACCAGATCCTCACCAGTTCAAAATCAACGAAATGTGGTACTTTTAAAAAAACCATTTTATTTCACTTTTTTCATTAGAAATCTCTATCTAAGGTTACGAATTTAGTACTGATTCGGAACTATAGAAAAAAAGGGGCGCAGAACGAACAAGATATTATATGTCGAACTTAGAACTGATTCAGAACTAACGAAACAGGGATGCATCGGGGGACTTGTTTACTTTAAATAGATATGTATTTGGTGGCTTTATCGTTCAAATACGCTTCCATTCTGACCAATCTAACCAATAACCAATAACAGAAAGCCCCTCTGCAATCTCAGCTACAGCCAAAGGTATGTAAACGTATATTTCTTACAATCATTCAAACAAATTTGATTTTAAATTGAAAACATATTACTTTGAAAATAATTCAAAATCGCACACGCGGAAGAACCGAAAAGAATGAAAAATCATACGACTTTTTTCTTTCGTCTGTCTATTTTAGAACTGGTTCGGAACTATCGAAAGGGATGCAGCGGGGGACAATTGACACTTCCGAGGACATCGCCATGTTAAATTCGCCGGTTGTTTGCATGAAAAAGAGGTTTATCGCCAGTACTGGGTATAAATGTACTAGATGCGCCCAAGTTCAGAACTAGAGATTTTCCCCACAGGGTATGTACGCGATAGTGCGGCGCTCACCAATGGCATGATCTGCGGCATGTATGCTTAATAAGCAAGGTACAAAAGAAGATACGTGATGCAGTGATTTCGAAACATTTTATCATATTAAAGGTTGTACCAATGCAAACATTTGTAAATAAGTAGCAGAATGTTCGGTATTTTTGAATGACTAGTTCAATTTTTGATGAACATTTTTTTAATTAAAGAAGCATTCAATTAATTTAAAATGTTAAGAAAATTTAATGCATATAAAGCAATCCTTTCCGAATATGTGCTCGCAAGTAAAAGCATGCGAATACCGCAGGGTATCCCGATAAGCTGTAAAAGGCTCGAAATCTTCGAACATCTGAAAACTTTGATGAAGATCTCAGAATTTGTACGAAATATTGTTTTAGTTTCGAGTTTTTCAAGTCTTATTTTTATTTCAACACAATGTTAACCTTCTAAACCCATTTAAGTTGTTTTATCAAAATGTCACAGTTTCGACCGGAACTGGGTCAAACGGACCGGAAGTCCGTTCTTTTAACCGGAATTCCAATCCAGAAAAGGGTTTCCGAGTACGTATTTTTGTCCGCAGAATCCAAATCTTTTATAAAAACATGTATGTCTCGTTTAAAAAGATTGACTTCCGACTCGATAATTCATATTTTTGCGTTTTCCAATAAAAAAAAAACATCCAGGAAGTGTTCTTCTCATTTAGAGGGTGAAAAAGGCACATCCGGGAAAAAATTTTTGAACAAAAGTTACTTATTTTCGCCCCCAAATTCCGAACATGTAATAAAAATATATATATCCTATATAAAAGGATAGACTTCCGGTCTTTTTAACCCACTTCCGGTGGAAGTCCCAGTTACCAGCCCTTGGTAATTGATATTTTTGCGTTTTCCAATAAAAAAAAACCCTGTATACCCGTAAAAAGAAACACCACTTAGCAGCTTGTTACTTCTTCTACGTTTCTCATTTATAAAATGTATAATATTTGCGTTACACTGTTTTAAAAATTAAATTATATTTTTCATTAAATTTTTAGAAAGCTATTGCTTGAAGAAAAGTCTTTCGTATGGAAACGGTCAATTATGGTAATTATCTTGAAGCCTCTTTTGTGTCTTTAGAAAGACTAATAAATAGAAGGTGTTAGCATTATTCTGTTTGCCATTTAGCAATAAATTATCTGAAAATTAAACGAAATTTAAAAAAAATATTTTGCTTAATTTATAAAATCTTAAAATTAAAAGACAATTACATTTAAAAAGGAAGAATTAAATAAAAGCAAATATTTTTTTCAAACAACAAAATCTAAAACTAAAAAAATACTAAAACATAAAAAAATTCCGCAGACCAAGCATTCGATCGCCGGATCTCTCGAATTATACGCCAGTGCTCTGCTTACTCGGCTACTGTGGAATCTTGGAACAGCGTGAACGAAATCGAAATTAATTGAAAACTAAAAAAAAAAAATTTTAATCATTCGTTAAAAAGTTATGTAAAGGTTTTTCTTTACATTACTTGAATGCTCATTAAATCTTGTTAATGAATTTAACTGACTCTGAGAGGAATTTTTCTCAAGTCGTTACTGAGGAACACCTTAAGTAATCATTAAACGACTCGGAGCGCAGTTGTATGACTTTCATAATTCTCTGTATAACCTTTAAATAAAATCGCATTTATTGTTAGCCCAGTTAACGACACGGTCATTAACTCAAATAGGAACCTACCTTTAGTGATGGAGAGCGCCCACTGACCCTTATGTATGTATGTACGTATATACATGCCTTCATACTTATGGATATGTACACATACATATGTACATTATGATGCTAAAACAAAACAGTTTCGCAATTAATTTTTGATCTGTGGGAATGAGAATAAATCAGTGCATGCCAAATCAGAATTATATGGCGGATGACTCACCAATTCGATGTTTCGAAGCTGGGACACGTTTTTGTTTGAGCTAAACTGTGAGAGCTTGCACTGGCGTGGTGACGAATGATTCGCGTTCCGTGATTTGCTTTCCATTATTATCCAAACACTTGGGGCAAACAAATGCTAGTCTACCATTCAAACTTTACCGCTCTACCTTGTTCTAATGGAACAATGGCGACATGTCCAGTTATTCCGAAAAAATAGGGGATCATTGCATTTGGAGAGATTCCTGCTGTAGTGAAGTACGACTACGATTGAATTTGGAAAAGCGGCGAAACACGATGGTTCCAGTTGGCTCTTCACCACCAAAATTCGAAGCGATTTGATCGGCATTCTACCGTCGATAATCATCTCACAAAAGACAATTTTTTTACCAAGATGAATGTTTCAAGTACCTGCAAACAACTCAAAAAGGCATCGTATGACAAAACGTGTAGAGTACGTTTATTCTCAAAAATATTAAAACATTAAGCTTTAATATACCAATGTCAGATTTGACCATATGAGTTTATGATACTATATTTCAACACTTCCAATTAATAAACTTTTAAAAAGTTTGGGAATCCCTGCCTCATTTTAGAGAACATATTTCAATTAACAACGACGTCACGAACCCATAAGCCACAAACGACTCAGCCTATCGTCTTACCTACATATCCACTTGTACTTACATACGACAATTGGTACTTTGCACACTGCACTACATAACAGCTGAGCGAAAAGAGGTGACAGAGTAAGTGGGGAGTATCACGAATAAACCAGAAGAGTAAGTGCATACTGAGAAGGTAAGAAATAAGAGTCTATATAAAAGCACAACACAGCCGGCTTTGATCAACAGTGAGCATTTGTATTGGGTAAGATAACAAATATTTTTCTTCCGTAACTCAGTGCTACAGATTTTATACAAGTGACAATAATAAAAATGCCGTGTCCCTGTGGAACTGGTAAGTTGCGTATCTACACAGGCAGTGAAATTAGTATTTTGAGCAATTCACAAAACAAATGTTGCTAATTAAATTAAATATAAAAAAACCGTTAGCATAATAAAAACTCAACCATTCTTTTACATTAACTTATTCACACTTTAATTCAACTGTTATCTTCAGGTTGCAAATGTGGCACTCAAGGCCAAGGCAACTGTGGTTGCGGTAACGGCGGATCCTGTCAGTGCGGCAGTGGTAAAGGTTGCTGCGGTAAATGAAGTGCTAACTAGTACTACTGGTAGCTGATATCCTATAAGTAATCATGAATTATTGAATCCATATCGATTTCATCAATTTGAAAAGATTTTAGTTAGTATGAATCGCACCACATTATTTAAAATAACCAACTGTAACGCATCGAATTTTAAATATTTAAATTAGAACCCTTTGTTAAATGCATATTATAGTTGCGTTCCCCAACTTTTATGGGTTAAAACCTGTGAAACTGTCAAAAGGCAAAAGAAGCCAGAGAACCGAGTACGGGAACGCTTTCTGGTAAATTCCTGTAAATTCTTGCAACTTCTTGCGAGTTAGGGAACGCAACTTATGCTACAATAAAAGCACATTTATTATATTCAATCAACTCGTAATCTTTGTAAATACATATATTGGTATCAGTTTGGGCATTTCTTGCCAAGGTTTTTAGAATTTTTCTTTGTTATATGTTGCTAGATTTAAATGAGTGATATGCTGGGTAAGTATGGCTGACTTCCAAAACGCACCAATAATACAATGTTTGGATACTGTGCTACTGCGGTTTTCAAACTGTTTATATATGCAGAGCTGCGAAACATTAGCTGGATTTTTTTGTAAGCGAGCCACAAAAGAACGCTCAACTCGGGTAAAATGTCCTTTTAGCTACTTAGGTAACCCTGCTGGTAGCGGGCAAGAAACATGTGATTAGTTCAACAGGATTTATGCACAAAAAAACAATAGAAATTAGTAATTATGCGAGGTATTTGCGTAATATATATTCTCATTTAAAATATAAATTAAATTATATAAACAAAAATTTCCCTCTCCACTTTTCCATTAACAATTCACAACAGAGCAGTTTTTTCACTTAACAACACTACTCTTCAGGTCGCGTATTTTTTAACCGACCTGGCTGAACTTGGATAAATAGCCGAGTTTGTTTTGTTGCTTTGCGTGTATTTCGTCATTTAAGCGAGTCTTCTTTTGTAGCTCGGTTGCAAAAGAATGGACCTATTGCAGCTATGTAGCATTGCAGCCATATAGCTTACCGTGTATTTCAGCGATTACTTTTACAAGGCAATGTCCTAGGCGGTGGTCACCATCGACCGGTTCCGAAAATTTATCGTAAAAGTATTATATAACTGTCGCTCGGTTTGTGGCAGCAGAACTCTCGTTCTCGACATGCATTTTCAAAAAGTTTTTTGAAGTGTTTTCGATAGTGGAAACGTATCTCAGGCGGAAGTTATTTCGATCCGTTTTGCTATCGGGAAATTAATGAAAACAGAGAAGAATCGTAAACAAGCATTAAAATTACTAGTTTATGATAATTACAGCTGCTCCATTCCAGTTTATTCTCATATTTAACATAATAAAAGATTACAGTAGTTCAATTTTCTCGTGTTTTAAAACAAAGTTTAAGTTTATATAAACGTATTTAGATGTAATTTAGGTAAATGTTATAGTAATTCAAATAATAAGTGTACATTAATTAAGAATTTTAATATGAAAATATGCAATTAAAACTTATTATTAACTGACTTCAAAAAGGAGGAAGTTTGTATGTACATATATTACCGGGTAACTTTGGACCTCGTGAACCATTTTCGATTCGTCTTTTTTTATAGGAAAGGGTGTACCTCAAGGATGGTCTCACACTAATCATCGTGTCATGAAGAAATTAACGATAATCCTAAATATTTTTATGAGCATTGAAGTCGCTGGTATTTTTTGCTTAAAAATTACTTGTTGTTGAACATCACTTTCCATCCTTTGTTTTTTTTCTTGTTATTCATAAATTTTGCCAACTCCGTCCTGATCCTACTGGATTTTTGCATTGTGCTATTTGATAGAGATAGTTATGTTTATAGTTTAATATATTTATCCTGCAAAGGAGTTTCAATACTTGCTTCGAATGGTTCCTTAAATTATTCAATTTGATTAATTGTTTAGTGTTTAGTATTTATGCTCAAATTACTTTTACTTACTTTTAATGTTTTGAAATATTCTTACAAAATTTTGATTAAAGCGATGCCTCCTTCTATATATTTTTTGAATATTTTGTCCGGGGTTATAGCGCTCTTACACGATGTGTATATGTAAATGCTACTTTTCTGGTGCGTTCTAATGTAAGGTACATACGAGTAGATACAAAAAAGTAGCGTTTATTTACATATGCAAATAGTTACATACCGTGTAATAAGCCTAATAAGCAAGGACCGTAACAGTTACAACTTTTATTAAAAAAATCACTCTTTAACAATTATTTTTTGACTTTTATTTAATTACTCTTTAAATAACCGTTATTTCTGGCTTTTATTTTATAAATCGAAAATAACAATTATTTTTGATTTTTATTTAAATAATCTGCAAATCACAGTTATTTTTGATTTTTAAATTATATGTCTTAAATAACATTTATCGAAGACTTTTATTTATAAAAGTCATAAATAATAATCAGTCACTGATCTTTATTTTTTCAATCATACTTATAAAAGTCATTTGAATAAGTCGTAGTAAACTTTTGTTTTCCAACACCTTCTTAACTGCGAAGAATGTTAATGACTTTTATACGATTGATTTAAAAAATAAAAGTCGGTCACTGATTTATATTAATGACTTTTAAAAGTAAAAGTCACTGACTGATTTTTATTGATGACTTTTATAAATAAAACTCTTCAATAACTGTTATCTAAGCCATATAATATAAAAATCAAAAATAATTTTTATTTTGGATTTCCAATATAAAAATCAAATATAATTGTTATTTTTTTAAATTTTGCATAAAAGTTGCAAATAAAAATTTATTTTCAAATTTGAGTCTCGGTGCAAAACGAAATCGCTTGGTATGTTTCACTTAGTTGTAGAACATTTCCTTCATAGCGAATTTTTCCATGACAGTTTTCATCAATAACTGTTATGTTCGGTCCCTGCTAATAAGCCTTTTAGTGAAGAATTATATAACAAATACATTCTCGATGCCTTCAACGGATAGAAAAGCAAAAATACAAACCTCCATTTGAAATACGAGACTATCAGGTGAAGCGGAGCTTGAGGGTAAGAGAAACTATCGTAAAACTCGTAACATCCGCTAACATATGTACGTTTCTTGGTCGGATGGGTACGCAATGCAATTGACGTTTTGGAAGTCAGCCTATATTTCACATTTAAAAATAAAAATATTTCTAAAATCTTCTGTTGTTTTTTTTTTTGGCCCCGAATTCTGAATTTGGTATCCCCGCGAAACTAATGCGGCTGTGTAAAATAACGTTGAGCAATATCATCAGCTCCGTCAGAATTGGGAAGGACCTCTCCGAGCCGTTTGATGCTAAACGAGGTTTCAGACAACGTGACTCCCTTTGAAGAGAAGATAATAAGAGTCGCAGAAAGCTCTGAAAGGATTCAACCCGGGTCGCGATTCTGGTAACAGAGAAAAGCATCCTGTGCGTTGGAAAGGCCAGGTGGAGAAGGACTTGGCTTCACTAGGCATTTCCAATTGACGTCAGTTGGCGCAGAGGGAAAACGACTGGCGTGCTTTGTTGAACCCGGCCCAAAATGGCTTAGACGGTTACAGCGCCAAATAAGCAGCAGAAGAAGATTTAACCAAGACCATATAAAGTTTCAAACTTTGTACAAAATATAAGAAAACTCAACAAATTTTCATCAAAATTTCAACTTTTTAATCTGTATCTTTAGAATATTCTTGGGTATGCAGCTTTATGGCCTATACAATTTTGGGTCTAATGAAGTGCAAGTTTCAAACGGCAAAAAAATCCCGAAAACTCGATTTTCGAAATTACTGAGTGATTCAGCGTAGTAGACGCTCCGCACCCTCTTCTAAGGCTTTTGCCGATGTTCTTCTAATGTCGTCACACAAATGGAAATGAGAGGAGGTGGAAATTTTGTTTCTCCTTAATTGCATGAAGTATGTAGTTCAATCGGTTAATGCTTGAAACGCATTGAAAACGCCGGTCCATGGGCCACAGCTTCCAATTTGTTATACTTATTATCTAAACGCTTTGTCGATTGCGCCATGAATTTTTTGAACGCGCCAGCGACATCATGAATTTGTTTGTCTGTCGCTAGAAAAATGGAAATAGATCTATTCTGGTCACAGCTACATTTTTTGCTAGTTGCGGTGTTGCCGTGTCGTCGCCAAAATAATTTTCTACATAAGAGTACGTGTTAAAATAATTTGACAGCAGTGGTCCGTAGCCGGTCGTTTCCAATGTGTTTCAAGCTCAATGTTCTGATTATTCTCTCTTTTCTGTTTGTGAAGGATCTCCGATTAGGGGAATGTGCTTCTAAAATTTCTAAAAAGTTTGTATCTTTCAATGGTTGAAATAATTTTTAGTTTATAAAAAATTTAATATCACCAAAAATACATAAATACATAGGTATGTATACATATGAAGGTGCATACATATATTGTTATCAACAGTAAACAATTTAAAACGCATACTTAGAGACGTTAAAATATTCTACATAATTACATAAATATGTACATATCACTTGATCGCGAAAACAATACATCTTTTGGAAAATCCGAATTGATTTTGAGCAAATATGTTTGCCTTAATTACTTAGTAACCTCACTTTATGACGATATTTTGTGCAAGCTTTTTGACGAAATCAACATTCAAAAAATTCGCCATCAAAGTGAGTAAAGACTTTTTAGGTGGACGGCAATGCCGTAAGCCTGCCTCCTGGCAACAAACATTGGGAAAGCAGTCCAGAGTTGACGCACAAGTCTTTGGATGTAGATCGAAAATAGGCGGCGGTGGTGGCGTGCATTCAAGGTACTCAGACACTGAAGAGAATAAAATTACAATATTTTCATTTACACATGTTTAAAAAAAAAACTCACGATAGTTAAACGAACGTTTCACCGGTACTGGTACCGTCTCCAATTCCGGCTGCGAAGTTCTACAGTAACGCTTATTGCCGTCCGGACAGCAAACCCGTGGCCAACAATCCGTATCCGTTTCGCACTCCTGTACTTGCCACCACAGCTCGGCTAGTGGTCGGGTTGGGCATTTACGGGGTATCAAGCCCAAAATAGCTGGCATATAAGGAAAATAAATCGGAATTCTTACAAGAACTGAGTATATACAAATATACATACAGGAATATGGTGGCTCTAATAAAAAACACTCACGTGTATGCGAAGTCTCTTCAAGTGGCTTGGATACACCGGAAACACAACTTTTTGCACCAAATATTTCACAGCACAACTCATCGCGATTCCAAACGGTGCAATCCTCATCGGTCTTACAGATTTTGGGAAAGAGTTGAAAACGTACCTCACTCTCCCGTGGACAATCGAATTGATTGCGCAAATTTTGCGCTATATTGCGTTTGTCTTTTTCGCTAATCGGTTCGTTTGACCTTTGGGACGGCGCATTAAATAAATTGAAGGTGGGCAACGCAATACGGAATGGGCCATCCGTCGTACTCTTTTTCGGTGCAGCTGTGGTTGTTTGAATCTCATTAGATAATGTTGGAACTGTTGTGGTAACTTTTGCTTTTTGATAAGTAGTTTTCTTCTCTTTAATCGGTGTCGTTGAAGTTACAATTGGTGGTGAAGGTGTATATTTCTTTGGTGGTTTTTTAGTTGAAGACGCCTTGGGTGGACTGGAGAGGCCCCAAAGTGTAGGAGAGAAAAAGCTGAAAGGATTGCTCGGAATACTATTGGTGAACGATGGTGGGCGAACTGGAATGAAAGTTAAAAATAATTTAATTTACGATTATATAAGTATGTATACGAGTATATGTACATCTTAAATAAAAATAAAAAAATAAAAAAACACGTAAAAAAGTTTATGTTTGGGTGAAACTGGCGCACGTATTAAATATGCTTTTTCACCTTTCTGTAAGCTAATTTTAAACTATAATCAGATGTGCTTTTCTTTTCTCCAATATAAGACATTGTCGATAATATGAAATACTTTAGCCAAGTTTGTTAAAAATCGATAAAGCGGTTACCGAGATAGACCTTTGTAGTCATAACGTGGGCGGAGCCACTCCAAATTCCTAAAAGTCTATATTAGTCTCATTTATTGTTAAGAGGTTGTTGTAAGTATCAATTTGGAGTAAATTAGCATCCTCAGTTATTGAAATATCGGAGTTTTCGTATTTCTGAAATGCGTTATACGGAAGGCTGGTGTATTTTTAGTCTGATTTGAAAACATATGCAACGAATTGCTGTTCTGTACCTAGGTTATTAAGTGCACCGAGTTTAGTATAAATTCATAAATCGGTTACCAAGTCCATTTTCCAGAAATTTATAATGCTAAATGTTTATTGCAATCGCTGATTTTTAGTGAATCAGCTGGAGTTACTGATTTATTACAGTTTTCGTGATTCTGTAAATTGCGTACTGCTATATGCGAGTATTTGCGATGTGGGCGTGGTTATTGCCCGATTTCAAATATTTTTAACAGATTTCTTAGCTGGGCCCTAAGCAAGGCTCGCACCGTGAAGTGGCTACTGAGATACAGCATTGCATCATAAGTGGGCGGGGTTACGCCCATTTTCCAATAATTTTATAATAATATTAGTTTTTACCATAATTCCACTTCACATACAAATTTTCAACAATTTGGATCCAATATGCACAGAAATATCGTAGTTTTTGCATTTTAAATACCGTGGGCGTAGTAACGCTCCGATTTCGCCCATTTTCAATACCAACCTTCCTTGGATAAAGGGTAGGTTACTACATACCAAATTTCGTTGAGATATCTCAATTTTCGCTCGAGCTATCGTGTACACGGATACGTACGGACGGACAGACAGACATGGCTTAGTCGACTTCTCTATTAATTCTGAGCATTTATTAATGTATACATTTGTCTATGTCCATCTCGATTCCTTTAGGTTGTTTAGGCGCTCGGGTATAAAAAAATGGAAGTGCGCCTGGGCCACACTGGAGAAGTGAAACTTACGATACATATATATTTTGCCTCATAGCCAATATATGTACATAAGACTGCATTACCAAAAAAAGTTGCGGTTTTTCCGCCGGGATTACAAAATTTATTATATCTTAAGACACCTCCCAAAATATTTCGGAAAAATATTAAGATTTACATACGTGAGCTGGAACGATTTGAAAATACCTTCAAAAATGGAATTTTTTTATCAATAACAAGTAAGAAAGCCTAAGTTCGGGCGGAGCCGAACATTAAATACCCGGCGCAATTATTAAATATATGTTTTCCATCTTTCCGAAAGCTACCGCTACACGATAATCCGGGGTGTATAAATTTTAAGTAAATTAGCGTCCTTAAATTTCGAAATATTGCAGTTTCAAGCATTTCTGAAATATACCGTTATATGAAAAGCGGTCGTAATTTTAGTCCCATTTCAATAATTTTCAACGTTTTGCTTTTATGTGGCAAGCACAATAACCATACCGAGTTTATAACAAATTGGTGGAACGGTTGCCGAGATACATATATGTGATCATAAGTGGGCGGTGCCACGCCCATTTTCCAAAATTTTATCATAAACGTATTTCTTCGTAGAGAATTGTTGCAAGCATTAATTTTGAATAAATTAGCTTTAATATTTATTGATTTATCGAAGATTTCGTATTTCTCCAAATTACCGTTATATGGGTGGTAGGCGTGGTTATTGTCCGATTTTAAAAATGGTGAAGCGGTTACCAAGATATACACATGTATCCATAAGTGGGCGTGGCTACGCCCATTTTCAAAAAATTTATAATATTCTTATTTTTCGTCTAAAAGTTATTGTAAATATCAATTTTGAGTTAATTATATTCAGTAGTTACTAAAATATCGCAGTTTTCGTTTTTCTGAAAATTACCGTTATATGGGAGGTAGGCGTGGTTATTGTCCGATTTCGCCCATTTTCAATACCATCCGTCCTATGCCCAAAAGAAGTCCACGTACCAAGTTTCGTTAAGATATCTCAATTTTTACTCGAGTTATCGTGTGCACAGACGGACAGACGGACGGACGGACGGACGGACGGACAGACAGTCACCGCTTAATCGATTTCTCTTTTCATTCTGATCATTTATATATACATTTGTCTATATCTATCTCGATTCGTTTTGCCTGTTACAAACAACCGTTATGTGAACAAAGTTATAATACCCTTGTGCACAAGTGCGCTCGGGTATAAAATAGTTTCTTAAAGAACTTTTTGAAAAAGTCCCCTCAGATGACAAAACAGGATTATCTTAAAAAATCTGCATAAAAATATTTAAAAATCTTTTCAACAGAATCGTAATGAGATTTTTAATGCTGTTTTTTACTTTTTTCAAAGATTGATTTACGAAAAACTTAAATAACTGGGCCAAAACTAATCTGAGTTAGATATATGGGAGCTCAGTAAAAAGGTATTTTCCCAGTGTTTTTATTTCTGTCAAAAAAAAGTCTTTGTGTTCCAATTTTATTTTTTTTTTCAAATATCAATACATCTTTATTCAACTATGAATGACGTTCGTTCATCCTACCTTTCTCTTTCATCCTTTGAACGAGTTTATTAGCAAAGATATAAAAAGGGTAAGAAAATACCTTTCCAAAAAGATAAAAAACAGCATCAAAAATTTCATTATTATGATTCCGTTCAAAATTTTTTTTTGCCATCTGAGGGGATACTTTCAAAAAAAAAATCTTTAAGTAACTCTTTTTACCTTCCTTTTCTTACCTTCCTTTTATTAGCTCGGGATGTAACTATGTAATACTGATGCGCCTAAAAGATGCAGCGATTTCTATTAAGTTACATACCTGATGACAGTACGAATGGCAATTATAATAGGGAGGTTTTAGTTTTTTAAACTATAATTTTATTATACATAAAAAACTCCATTTTTGGAAGTATTTTCAAATCGGTCCAGCCACGCGGAGTATTTGCAGATTATCTGAGTGAGCTCTTTGGGACTCCGAAAACACTCATTTAAGGAGTGCTAAAGCCACACTTCTTTCATATAGTATATTGAGAAGGTCCTTTTCTCCGGCAGATATGCTTCTTTGGGACTCTTTTCGGAGCCTCCCTAGGAGCATCAGCGCACGGCACAGGGAGACCTAATTGTGCACCCTGCAGATTCCCCTGGTTGACAGGGGTACATATTATGTAACAACATACATGTGTACCAGGGATGTTGCGAATATTTACATTCGCATTCGTTATGCGAATGAGTTGCATCATTTTACACATTCGCATTCGCATCAAATGATACGAATGTTTTGCGAATGCGAATGTGTACATGGGCAGAGTCTACTCTAATATTGTTGAAATGGCTCTAAGTCTGTCTAACCAGGGTGCGGACAATAATCGGTTTTTAGCTTCAGGCGCTAAACGGTGAAGTAGTATATCAAGCAACATTGATGGGCCTTCAACAAGTACTGCTAAAAGTCTTATAAGCAATCTTGAAATAATTGTAGATTCCTCCAGCGAAAGCGAAGGCTGGGATGTAGAATGTGGAGACCTTAAAAATTTGTGAAATTAAAGCTAGAGGTCTGAAACTATCGATGGCACTATCGATACTATCGGTGGTTTTCGACTATCGAGATGCCATCGATAGTTTTCCTTACTATCTACTACTAATTCGCTACTGATTGTCAGCACTTTTTAACCGACTTCCAAAAAAGGAGGAGGTTATCAGTTCGTCGGAATATATATATTTTTTTTTTTTTTTTGTATGTATGTTACCACGTCAACCGATTTCGATAATACTTTTTGCATCGGAAAGGTAGTGTCTCAGAGGTGATCCCATACTAATCTGGTTAAGATCCGATCAGTGGATCATGAGATATATATATATATATATTTTTTTTTTTATAGTTATGAGAGTTGAAGTCGGTTTTTTTTTGCTAAAAATCTTATAAATATTATAAATGTGAAAGTTTGTATGTTTGGATGTTTGGGAAATCATCACGCGGAAACGACTACACGGATTTGCATGAAATTTTGTACGCAGATAGCTTATGGGCCAGATTAATTAATAGGCTATTTTTTTTTAAGAGTTGCCACCTGTTAAAAAAGTTTCATTTATTTAATATACGGGAACGACTGAATGGATTTGCATGAAAATTTGCACACAGATAGCCTATGGCCTAGGTTGGAAAATAGGCTACTTTTCTTAAGAGTTGCCACCTGTTAAAAAAGTTTCATTAAATTAATACGCGGAAACGACTGAATGGATTTGCATGAAATTTCGCAAGCAGATAGCGTATGACCTACAGTGGAAAATAGGCTAATTTTTTGGAAGAGTTGCCACCTGTTAAAAAAGTTTAATTAAATTAATACGCGGAAACGACAAAACGGATTTGCATGAAATTTTGCACACAGATAGCTTATGACCTAGGTTAGAAAGTAGGCTACTTTTTTTAAGAGTTGCCACCTGTTAGAAATGTTTAATTTAATTAATACGCGGAAATTAGTGAACTGATTTGCATGGAATTTCTCACATAGATAGCTAATGAGCTAGGTTGCAAAATAGGCTTATGACCTACAGTGGAAAATAGGCTAATTTTTTGGAAGAGTTGCCACCTGTTAAAAAAGTTTAATTAAATTAATACGCGGGAACGACAAAACGGATTTGCATGAAATTTTGCACACAGATAGCTTATGACCTAGGTTAGAAAGTAGGCTACTTTTCTTAAGAGTTACCACCTGCTAGAAAAGTTTAACTAAATTAATACGCGGAAAAGTCTGAACGGATTTGCATGAAATTTT